AAAGCTGAAATTATTCGCATATTAAGGTTATTTTTTGACTTTGATCGGTATTATTAATTTTTTGTGTCTGTATTTTATTTGCACATTGAGGTGGTGTCTAATAACAAGTTTATAAGTGTTTGACAATAAAGTCCACACATTTCTGTTAAAGTTATGTCTATTTACTGCAAAAAAGAATTTGACTGCCATAGGTGACAAGTTCAAAGCTTTGTCAACCATCCATCGAGGTGCAATTTACATACATTTAAAGGAAATTTATGTTTTGTGAAAAAATATCAAGATTATAAAAATTAGGGAATTTATTTGTTTCATAAATGCAAACAGCTTTAGCTAATGCAGTTTTTTTTTTTACATTAAGTTTTGCTAAATATAAGCTTCATGACTTCAAATTTAGGGGAATGTTGTCTACATTGCATCTAGCTGATCAACAATAAAGTTGAACTGTCCTAGTACTGGTTCTCATTTCCATCCTTGAGCAAAATCAATAGCAGGCACGGCTGTAACAAAACTCTGGAATGGATTTCATTACAAAAATATAAAATGTGTAAAAAAAAAATGCATAGAAAACCCCCAAACCATGATGTATATATTAAAAGTATAGGTAGAACAAGAATCAACAGATTTAGAAAACATGAAAGAAAAGGGATTTTTGTTTTTCAAAAAATTTGTGTTTAAAATCCCTGAAGGGTTGTCTCCACTGAAGCATGTTTCAAATACTGGTTGTTTACATATCACAATCCCATGTAAACTTAAAGTTAAGGTTACAATATTAATGCCCCTTATCTTATCTGCACATACAAAACCTCGCTCACATTTTACAAAGCCTTGCAAGGACAATGTTTTATAATATGAGGAACCCAGATCCAGAAGTTATATTAGGTTCAAAAGAATGCTGGCAATTATCATAAGTGTAGAAAAACCCTTATTTTTAGCAAGCATTTAATTCATAATAGAAGACAGCTTAACTAAACATAACAGTTGTAATAGCCAGGCCAGTGTCTCAATCTAAACGTCAATAAAACTCTGTGGTTTCACCTTAAGAGGCAATAGGGCAAGAGATGTCCCCACAGTCTAACGCTTTAGAAAGGTTTTGCAAAGTAGAGTTGGCTAATAAGCCTGCTGAATTCCTTCAAAGGAGACTGAATGTTGTAACTCTATATAAAAGTGCTGGAGTGAGGTTTTCGTTGTTTCATGTTTTCATGGTTGTGCTGATGAAACCAACTGATTGACCTGAATGGCACAATGGCACCTGACATTTTAGCACATGCAATGTTGTTGTCTTCCAAATTTCTAATCTAAATAATAATCAATTTCCTTTAAATTGTGACTCTTTTTGCAAATTCTGAAAAAAACCTGATCCTTCTGATGAACTGATTTGTCATAACAGACTATTCTTCCTAGGTTGGATTAAAAACAACTTTCATTCACTTAAGCACTAAACATACAACAGCATAAACTTAAACTTAAACTCAATAAAACAAACTGGGTTTTATAAGTCCAGAACATTTGTTTTTCATTGTATGCTGCCAAACACGGCTCGGCATACTTTTAAACAGTTGAATGATCTAAAGCCTTATTTTTTAGGCCTACATTAGAAAACCTGAGCTCACAACTGTAAATCTCCCATAATGGTTAAATTAATACTTCATAAAATATCTATAAAGGGATAAAATATGTTTGCAAGACTTTTTATTGCTTTAAGAATGTGGGACTTCTATTACCATGTTAATATCAGACATGGCAAAAGTACTCACTTTCCGTACT